CACCAACCATGACAAGAGTGTATCTTTTCCCACCAACACTTGGAGTCTCAACTGGTCCAAATAAATCCATGTGAATCAGATTTAAAGGACTGATGGAAAGGTCTCCTGCAATGGGTTTGAAGGAGTTCTTGACTTGTTTTCCTTTCTGGCAAGCACTGCACAGGTTCTCCTTCTTGTACAGAATGTTGGGCAGTCCATCAACAATGTGATCCCTTGCAAGCTTGTTGATTGTTTTGAAATTCAAGTGGCTCAGCTTCTTGTGCCATTCTCAGCTGAGCTTTGAATCTCTTTTGGCTATCAGGCAAATTCCTTCTTTTGCAGTAGACCAATCAACAACATAAATGTTCCTTTTCCTTCTTGCTGTTAGAACCTCTTCCTTAGTTTTCTCATGCTTGACAGAACAACTTTCTTTTGAGAATTCAACTGTGTAGCCTTTGTCACAGAACTGGCTAACACTCAACAGATTGAACTTCAGGCCTTTAACATATGAGACATCATCAATGATTATCTGATTCTTGATCAGCTTGCCTTTTCCTTTTGTAAGACCTTCTTTGTCATTACCACCAAAGGTAACTCTTGGTCCTTTGCATTTCTGGAAATCTGTTAGGCAACTCTTGTCACCTGTCATGTGCCTGAAGCATCCACTATCAATATACCACTCTTGCTCAGAGATGGCTCCTGCACACAGTTCCTGCTTTAATAAAAGGAAGATTTAGGTACCCAAGCAATGTTGGATCCTAGGGGGTCATGTAGTCTAGGCAACCGGTACCATTTTGGTCTCATAAAGTGAAACCTTGGTGGGTGGTACCCATTGTCCACCTGGTAGTCATAGTAAACGGAAGTGTGATTCACTTTGGGCAGATGTTTGTGAGGATCATGCTTCCTGTTTGCATACTTCTGCATAGCTTTTCTGGTTGGGTAGAAGTCCCATATGCTATCAAGAGCAGAGGAATGATTAGCTTTGGACTTTTGAAGTTGACCAGCCAACCTCTTCTGAAGTTGGCTCGGTAGTTGGGTGAAACACAGGGAACTGTTGAGGCAACTGCCGAAGAAATATATAGCTTATGATGAAATTAATTATGGAGTCTTACTCAGGATAATGAGGGCAATCTGAAGATGTATAGAGCTTAGTGGAAAGTGGGCGTTTATGATAGCAGTGGTCTGAGCACTTGGGTGGTTGCTAGGGAACTACTGAGGTAACTGTTTGATAAAAGATGAGGATATGAGAGGACTGATTGCATAATCTTATCTAGAATGATATGAGCTTTCTGGAAATGTGCCCAGCTGAGTTTAAGTGGAAGTTTATGGAAACAGTGGCCTGAGCAGTTGGGTGATTGCCAGGGAACTGCTGAGGTACCTGTTGATTTATGATTCCCAGAAATCTGTTTGAACAAACTTCTTTGTAGTGATTTTGTGAGAATACTGCAATGTAAGGATGTCTCAAAGAAAGTATGTAATTAACCAGTAGGCTGAGCAGTGGCGTCAGTTGAGGCTACTCCTGAGGATACTGCTGTCAGACTACTTGCTTTAATGAGAAGTGTTGGGTGTGTGCTTTGTTGACTGGAAATAAATCAACACACAGTATATCCTGGTTCAGAGGTGGTGTAATCCTCCTACGTCCAGTCTCACCCTCTTTCAGATGGATTTCCACTAAAGTATTAAGCCCAATACACTTAGTGCCCAATCTAGCCTTTACAACTGATATGCCTAGATTGAAAGGTGTTTCACAAGGAGTACACACCACTCCAAGTTACTCGGTCCTTTAGAATTTTCTCAATTGACACAGTGGGAATCAAAAGATACTCTATCTATCTATCCACACTAGGATTAGAACAACTGTTCTCCTGAGTGTTTACAACAATATATTTTGTGATTTGTTTCAAGAATTTTCTAACCTCCAACTAGGAACTAAACTTCCAGAATATAGCAATGATGATTTGTAACTTGGAAGTTTAGTGAAGCATGAGTCAAAGCAGAGAGTAAAGTTAAACCGGCACTTTCTCTTTTGCTGGATATCTCTTAAATGCTCAGTGGAGTTTTTCTCTACTTTGGATGCTCAAAGCTTGGTTAGAAACTCTCGTTTCCGCCTATATTTATATGCTTTTCTGGTTGATTAATCTCATCCGTTGGTTACGGTGAGGTTAATCTTTGACGTTGAAGGTTCTGTACTTTTGTCTTCATGTGCTGAAGCAAATATTGAGGATTTCATCTGTCTTCACTGATGAGCCGCTGAAACATCTTTTCAGGATCATTCTGACGATTTTTATTGTGTGTGTCCCATGCTCCGGGTCCCTTGTACGATTTAGCATTAACTGCATGTCAAATTTTGTCTTCAATCATACACATGCAATGTATATGATTTTTGTACCTACGTGACCTTATTTCTGTGACACTTTAATTTTTTTGTTTAAATAAATTTATACCGGTATGATTTAAATATCCTATTAAGGTAAATAAAAATTACCTTATTGCATTTTTAATTTCCAGTATAATTTAATAGTCACAAAAAATGTACATTGATTTGTCACTTTATGATAATTTTGAACATGGATACTTTAGGTAAATGAGACACAATGTATAAGAGCAAATTATAGTGGCATCATCAAAATCTTATCAAAATTGGGTACTAACAAATTAGTCTTGCTCATTTTTGAATGGTCTATTCTATATCTGATCAAGGAGTAGTGAACCTATTGGATATGAGTTTAATATAAGCGTTTTCCTTTCAAGAAATATTAAAAGTTGTTCGGTGTTCGGTTCGGTTTACGGTTTCTCCGGTTTAAAAGCCAAATCAAACCATAGCATTTGCTTTGGGTAAATCGTTATCAAACGGTTTACTTAAATAAATCCAAACCAAACCAAAACATCAATTTTCGGTTCGGTTAAACCAAACGATTTTGCCGAGCCTTACAAGTTAGAACTGGTATTCTTTTTGATGACTTTTGAGGGGCCCGACTTCTTACGTGCTCATCTATGTTGCAATGAAACGAATATGCCAATAAACAGATACACGAATGCGTATACGACAATACAGCATTTTCCAAAATTATAGGATACAAGTACAGAGGTAAAATAACAACAACAATAATAATAATATAGAGTATATTTGCAAAAATATATAATTTAGAGGATAAAAAACAAATTCATAAAAGTACCAAAAATTAATAATCATAGTAAAATGTTGCAAAGACTAGACTAAAAATAAAATTAAAGTATTGATCTTTCAAATTAAATTCAAATAACATCTAATTCACTATTTGCATTTATATCAAAGTCTTTTAGGATGTTTTTACTTGGACCGTAATTTGATGGTCTGATCTGGTCTAGTTTGTTATGTCTGGTCTGGTCTAGTTTGGTCTGGTTTGTTTAAGTCTGGTTTAGTCTGAACTGGTCTGATCTGATAAACACCTAGTCTGTGTGTATTTGACGACTACAGAAGTCAAGTATGGTCTGGTCTGATCTGTTTAAGTCTGGTCTGGTCTGAGACTGAAAAAGTCCAAGTAAAAACATCCTTAACAATATTGATTCCAATTCAAACTCATCAAACGACAAATTGGTAAATTCAAGTATTCTAATTTTTTTCACACTCCAAAATCATCGCTACAAATGTTCTACTTCTTATGCTTCTCACTTACAAGCTTCCTAACAGCATCTCCAATGCAAGGGTGTATGCAAGGGTGTGGTCTCTTACATACTCTTAGACGGATACTGCTCCTAGGTGAAGTATCACTGCATCGTCGTAGGTGCTCATCACTTGAGCACATAACAAGCTTTCTAAGAGCATATCCAATGAAAGGGTGTATGCAAGGGTGTGCTCTCTTACACACCCTTATATAGTATCGTCTTAGATATGAGTCTCATTTTTTATCTCACAATTTTTATGTGTAGGACCCGCATATTTCCTAAGTCGTGATTTTGGGTCTCTTACACACCCTTATATATTATCGTCTTAAACATGAGTCTCATTTTTTTCTCACAATTTTTATGTGTAGGACCCGCATATTCCTAATTTATTTATTTTTGCATTTTTTATACGGAGTATCATTTTCCCCCATTTTATCTCTATCTCTCTTCTTTTTTCATATTTCCGGCATTATTGTTGTAATCTTTATATAATATAAAGGAATTGGGTGGACAATTGGATTTCTCCAATTATTATCGCCTATTCCCGCATTAATCATTCCTCAAGTCATAACATTAAATTAAGTTATCTTTATATAATACTATCTATAAAGGAATTGGGTGGACAAATGGATTTCTCCAATTATTCACGCCTATTTCCGCATTAAATCATTTTTCAAGTCATAACATTAAATTAAGTTATTTCTTATATATGGTAAGCAATGCATAATACTAAAGGAGATGCTTGAATGTGAGATGCATGCTTGACCAACGCATGAGACCTAAATGATCGAGGTACATTAATTTTTTTTACTGAAATTGAGCTACAATAACTTAGTATATTAATTTTATAATAATTTAATCAAAATAAACATACAATTCAATTCGCTACAAGAAAATTGACTTTTTGGGATGAACAATTTTCGACCAACATTAAATTTACTTGAATTATAACGAAGATATGCATTTTATGGACCATATATATTGTCGTACCATATAATAGTCAAAAAATTTATTGACTATTTGAGTTCAGCTCGACCTTATTCAATTTCTCACGGTCTCAATTAGTTTTAGTTTGATTTAATTTGATTTGAACGACATACCACTAAATTCAAACGAAATTGCGTATGATTTGATTTCGGTTCAATTTGGTACAATTTGGTTTACTCAAACCGAACCGGTTTGCTGACCTCCTAAAAAACACTCATGAAAGCTCATTCTCTCATAAGATAAAAACTAATGTAAATTTTTCTTAACCTTTTTCTTTATGTATCCATTTTTTTTTATCAAATTTGAGTTTTTGCGACTTTACAAGACTTTTAATGTAATTTTTGAATATATAAATTTCATTTGCTAAAAATAATTTCATTATTAACAAGGATCACTTAAGTTTATGATCTGTCAAATATACTGAATGCAACTGAGACGTTATCCTATTAGTATATCACTTCTATCTCTTTTTACATTATTAACAAGGATCAGTTAAGTGTTATACCTAATGCAACTGAGACGTTATCCTAGTAGTATACGATATTCTTTTCGATCTCTTTTTAATTTGAATACTGTGATTTTTACGATATTCGCAGTATACAATATTCGTTCATTGTCTGGTTAGTATTGATTATTGATTCTCTGCACGTTGTTTTCTTCCTTTACCAAGTCGTGATTTTGTTCCCAATTCAAAAACATTTGGAACTTTTGGTGATATCTTGCTACAAAGGTCAAGTTTTACTTCTGGGCCGCCTTTTCTGGTAGCGAGAGAGATGGGATCAGTTGGTAAGCTAGCTAGAAGAGCTGTGCTAACAGAGACACCTATTATGGTACAGGTAAAAGCTTTAAATTTTGTCAATAAATAGTATCCCTTCCACTGCATTTGGTTTGATGTTGCTGTTACTGCTGCTGCTTTAATTTACCTTTTCCGACTCTTTTGAGAGATTGTTGAAATGTGGGGGCAAATTTGTGATTGTGATTTGCAGATGCAGGAGCTGATCCGAGGCGTGAAAGATTGTATTTCTCTTGCTCAGGTTTAGGTTTATTTACTCTCTCCAATCGTTCTGATTCGTTTCGAGCTTTGTGTTGTTCCTCAATTTATTCTCTTTTCCGTATAGGGACAATGGTTGGGTTTAGGGAAGGGATCCCCACCTCTTTTCCTTATCACTCCTCCATCCATGTCCCTTGTATAAAAAATTCTCGTATCCCACCTGTCCGAGTTGGCCACATTGTCTTCAGCTAGTGCCCATGTGTGAACTTCATATGCATATTATTTCAATTCATTAAAATACGCATCATTAGGACCAAAAGTCCAAAACTTAATAAAAACAAGTTTTCTAATCAACACTAAGCATATTTTGTAATATTTATGTAGTTCTAAAACATTGTTTGTTTATATTTTACAAAATAAATACTAATCTCACAATTTCATGTATTGTAATAAGTGTATCACTTCATGTCTCAAATGTAGTGGGACACTGGGACCAAGGTAGTATCACTATCACAGTAGTCGATGGTGCAAATGGTGATCACCATTTATCTCAATTGGCATTTGGAGAGGGCTTCGCTTCAATACCTTGGTCTGGCGTTGCGTTTACCTGTGGTGTTGCCATATCCGCACCTTCGTCATTGCGTGCGGCATATGCTATATGTGGCGTTTTTAGATTTCTTAAGGCCCGTAGTTCAAAGAAAGTTTAAAAAGCATGCATAAGTTGCGCCTAGGTGCAAAGGAGCTATAAAAAATCGTATCTGCGGCTGTCAAAGTGTCGAGCGGCTATAAAATTCTCTTATGTGTAGTATTTAAATTAAATAAGGTGTCATGCACTTCTAAGAGTCCAACTCAATCTCTTCTTTTTATCAACAAGACATTCTTCCGGTCTTTCCCTTCTCTCTGTGACTCTGCCCACAGACTTTGCACATCCAGTTTCTCTCATTTCGAGTCTAGACAAGTTATTTTTTCTCCTTTCTCCTTGGACTTCTCTTGACCAGTACTGTATTACCTCTTGAGTTTATACTAATTTATTCTGCGATGTATATCATCCTTATCTTTATATCATTATGGCTGTTGATGTCTTGGCTGGAATATGTGCTTCCCTATCACCCGAAGCTACATGTTCATGCATTACAAGCTATATGTTATGTATGTTATATTATGTGTATAATATGTATGTGTATACTGTATATTATGTATATTGAAATATGTATTATAGTATTAGTTTGGTTATTTAACTCTTTTATTGGTGCTTAAGTTATACTACTATATTATCTATAAATCATATTCATACTTCTTAGTTTTAGTGTATCATGGCAACACCATAATTGCACCATCAAACTGCCCCCACGCCGTGATGGTCGCCGTGACAACTTTGATTACTATTATTGTATACTCACTCCATATTGTAATGTTCGCTACATAGGGTTTGACACAATGTTAAGGGAAAAGTATTAGTGGTAATGAATAGTTAGAAATGGTATGATAAAGGAAATAAAAAGTTGAAAAATAAGGGTAATTGAGTATTTTAAAGGGAAAAATTACCAAAAGGGAAAATGTAGCAAAAATTAAAATGCACCCCAAAAAAGAAAAAGTAGCAAACAAAAGAATACGGAGGGAGTATTATATAATATATAATATATAACTATATAATTAGTACATTAATTTGCGTGGACTCTTGGATATTTTTTATCCGTATTGTTCTTCTAGCTTGAAGGGGAGCCTTGGTGTACTGGTTGACCTGTAGGTCATGAGTTCAAGTCTTGGGAGTGGTCTCTTGTAAAAAACTGAGAGGAGATGACTTGCCTCTCATACACCCCTTGTGGTGAGACACTTCCCCAGACCTTCACCTTGCCGGAATGCCTTCGTGTACTGGGCTGCCCTTTTATTGTTTTTCTATCTGATCAATTTTAGTACGGTTTCATGGTAGGGGGTTGTGTATTGGCAACCACCCAAACAAGCACTGGATAAAGCGAAAGATCTTGTTTGGGAGCCTTCAATCAGTCGCTATGGTGCTGATGAAGGCCTTCTTGAGCTTCGGGAGGCATTGATGAAAAAGGTGCACAATTAATGCGTTTCAATAACATCCATTGCTTTCATTATTTCCCTTTTATGCACTATGTGACATTCTTAAACCCATGGTTCATATGATGAGACTCAGTATGGCCATGTTTGGTAAATGCTTTAATAACCCCTTTTTGGTAGTTTGAATAGTTTTTTCTTAATAGCCTTGTTTGTTAAATTAGCTTGTTCATCATTTTCATTTCATTTTCATTTACCCCAGTGCCGCAAAGGCTCCCACCTACGGTGGGGTAAGGGGGGGTCGGATGTACGCAGTCTTACCCCTGTACTAAAGCACAGAGAGACTGTTTCCAGATTACCCATAGTGAAAATCGTGTCCAAGATTGCATGGACTGACTGCTGCTCCATAACAAAGAAGCGCAGACAGTTTAGTGAGCCATTTTGCTTTATTCCATCATAATCTCAAGCCAAAAAATAATGAATCTTTGGCTCCATTGCAAATGATGGAATGTTAAATTAGCTTGTTAGTTTATCTTATTTCCCAAAGAAGCCATTTTAATAACCCAATATGAGCACGAGTTTCATTTAACCTCTGTTTTATTTATTTCCTTTCTTACTATCTTACTACTAAAATGTTTATATTTTAATTAATATTTGGTTGACCAATAGTAGTATTTTATTATTTTAATATTTTAATAAAGTATTATGTATTTTAATTTAAATGTTTTAGACTTTAGTATAAGAATTTTGCCAGTTTTAGTCCCGGTGGAAGGGGCTTTTCTTCGCGAAGTAGGAGGGAGACAGATAATGAAAATAAGGTCAGGACGCGTGGGCAGTATAGGGATATAGGAATGATATAAGGAAAAGCCAATCCTAAAAGCTAAGATTAATAACATTTCATATTTTGGCTGTTTGGAATAAAAAGCCAAATGAAAAAGCCATTTAACCAAACATCCTTATTAGCTGTTTGATCCGGTCAAAAGGTCAAAGTTAGTCAAATCAGCCAAAAAACGGCCGATAGCCTTCTAACCAAACGCCCCCATAATGTTATTACTTTTGAAAGGACTAAGTGAATAATAATCATATTCATTGACCGATTCAACTAATAAGTACTATTAAAACATCAACTAATTGATCACTTAGCGATGCTCAAATATCAATATGGAATATGAGTAGTGAAGTAGTAAATATTCAAGAGAGAAAGATTAATGAAGTAACTCACATTTTGCAAATCACAAGCTCCAATATAACAAAACCAAGAACAACATAACAAAACCAAGAACAACAGACTACCTAAATTACAAGGATAAACCCTAGATGAAAGAATGGATTGATGAGAATGTAAAATGGGAAGGAAATAGGTGTTTGCATAGGAGAAATGAGGTGATTGGGGATCAGGTATCCTTGACAGTAGCTACGAAAGTGCTGAAATCAAGTCATACTCGACCGGGTATGTCAATATACCCGACCGGGTATAGGACCGAATTAGTTATTCCCACGTTCTCTTGCTTCGTTTGATCTCCAGGTCAAATCATACCCGATCTTGTATTGGATATAACCTACTGGGCGTGTGACCAAATTAGATTTTTCTTCTTTATTTGTCTCGGATGAAACTTCCATTTATCTCCAAGTTCCTTCGTTATGCTTCCAAGTGATTTTCTCGCTTTTCCATCATGTTTCTTGCTTACATGTCAAATCTCTTAATATCTTCTTGTTCTCGTATTTTAGAAGAAAAAGACTTTACAATGATTGTACAAAAACTAAGTAAACACTATCTAAAACAATTCTAAAACGTGGTGTCTATGCACTACTAAATAACACATATCATATGCCTTTCTTACTATTCTAAAACGTGGTGTCTTTTTAGGCGAACCACTCTTCTCGGTGTCTATCCCTGTCCAGCGAGTTGCGGTGAATCCTTCTATACTCTGGAAACCCTGTTATTACCAATAATAAACTTATTGGATCACAAAACTATTAAGATTAGGCATGTGTTGGCGGTGTTGATGCTCAACTTTGCAACATTTTATGGCAATCCCTCTCACCGAAAATTGTTCCAATGTTCTGCCCTTTCAGAACATGTTTTTCTATCTGTAAGCAAGCAAAATCTCTCTATACAAATGACATATCTCGATATTGTTTAGTTGTTGATGAAAATTTAAAAATAAAAAAATGGGGATGTCAATGGAAACGTTCTCAGGGAAAGTTCAAGTCTTGATGACCGAATTCAATACCCTTATGCCAGTGGAAGAATCCATTGAAAACAGCAAGCTCAAAGGAATTTTTTTTGGGTAGTCTTGACACTTCCAAACTAGGAGCAGGATTTGAAGAGGTCTGTCGTCAGATTTTGAGCAAGAAAAATGTTCCGAACACCATTGAAGTTTTTACTCGGCTACTTTGACGGACCTCAGTCACAGAAGACAACAATGCTAATAATTCTACTTTTGTTTCTTACTCCCGAGGTGGTCGAGGGAGAGGTAGAGGTAATCTTCACGGAAGAGGTGACCGTGGCAAAGGAATGCAACGCTTTTGTGATTATTGCAACAAACAAGGACACACGCGTGAGCAATGCTGGAACTTACATGGAAAACCTAGCACTGCCAATGTAACTCAACTTAATAATGAAGTCAAAAGTTCTCATGTTCTATCACAGGCTGAGTATGAAGAATTCCAGCAGTTAAAGGCGGCTCGAACCTCGATTACTTCTGATAAGACTCACGTTTCCTTGGCCTCTCACTCCAACCCCGTTTGAATATTTGATTTAGGTGCTACCAACCACATTTCTGTAATCCTTCGCTTTTTACGCACTTGACTGTTTTCCAACTCTCTCCCGTCTGTTACCTCTGGTGATGGTTCAATAGGTAAAGCTATAGGAATTGGAAATGCCTTTGTTGGTCCCGGTTGTGCTGGGTACAGTCCAGAGGGGGGGGGGTGAATAGACTCTACTGTTTTTTAACTTTTTTCAATCTAATTACAACTATTCCTTACAGCCTCTCCACTCTCTTCTCTATCATTGTATATTCTTGATTGTCCCTTCAACTTGATCTCAGTCCATAAATTCACTCGATATCTTAATTGTGATATTACATTCTCCACTAAATCTGGGTGGAGGACCGACAATTGAGGAAGACGATCGGCACATGGGTTATATCATCTAGCCAACACCAAAGGTTCAATGAGTTTGTCTTCCCGTTCTCTAACACCCAACACCTGGTACAATCCTATCCTTTGAAATCGATCACTGTCTTCAGCCGTCTATTTCTTATCTTCCTATTTTACGTACAACACTGGTGGAGGCGTCTCCTGTTAGATATACCGCGACTCAACAAAAGTCTCCAAGTATAACAATCTCTTCTCCCAATTTCATACGTCCAACTCCTAACAATCCTCCCACGCCCAAACCACCTGTCCTCATCACCTATCCCTGCCAGCCCAAACAACAACTTGCTCAACCATCACCCTAATGAACTTACCACCATCTCCCCACCCACCGTTACAAACGCTCCCATACCATCTTTAAACTGACAACCTGATCCAAACAATTCTCCACCCAAACGTACCCATCCAATGACCCTTCGCCCTCACTACAAGTCAATCTAGTCACTCAATCATCATTACCTCATTATATTATTCTTACCTTGTGCCTCTCAAGCCGAACATGTACCTGAATGGAGGGATTTATGTCTGCAGAATGTTGTTAGATGCAAATGGGTCTATAGTGTGAAATACAAGCTGGATGGGTCTTGGATCGTTACAAAGCTCAATTGGTTGCTAAGGGCTTTCACCGGTGCCCTTAAAATTGATTGTTCTGACACCTTTAGCCTAATAATCAAACCAATAACTATTTGGGTAGTCCAATACTGTTGCTCTTTCTCGTAGTTGACCGATTAATCAACTCAATGTCAACACTGCCTTTTTACACCGGGCTCTTCAAGAGAAAGTTTACATAAAACTACCTCTTGATTTCAATGATGGTTTGGGTTTGTATGCTGCCTTTGCAAATCAATCTATGGTCTCAAACAAGCATCTAGAGTATGGTATCAATGTCTTAGTGAGTTTCTTCTTTCCCTTGGATTTTATCAACCAGTTTCTGATGTCAAGCTCTTCATATTTTCTTCTCATCACTCTTATACGAGTGACCTGCTTTGGTTCAATCGATTATTGATTCATTAGCACAAAAGTTCTCTATTAAGGGTTTGGGATCCTTACATTATTTTGTAGGCATACAGGTCACTCCTACACAAGATAAACTCTTTCTTGATCAATATAAGTACATTATAGATTTATTACAGCCTACAGGTATTGAAAATGAAAATGAATGAGGCTATTCCAGTCTTCACACCATTGGCTTCTTCGGCTTCTTCAACCTTATTTGGCAGTTCATGATCTTGTGATGTAACTCTTTACCGTCACATGATTGGATCGCTTCAACATTTGAGTCTCATCAGACCTGACGTTGCTTTCGCCGTCAACAAACTTGCTCAATTTATGCACAACCGACAGTTAATCATCGACAACTTGTGAACCGCCTCTTGCAATACCTTCAAGACACTGTCGTCCATATCTCCGCTGCAGCTCATCTCTTTCTCTGCATGTTTATGCTGATGCAGATTGAGCACAAAATATCAATGGCTGCTCCTCTAGCAACGATTATGCCATTTTTCTGTGCGAGTCATTTATTTCGTGGAAATCCAACAAGAATATTGGGGTCTATCCGTTGCTGCATCTGAAACTCATTGGATTGGATCTTCTTCATGAACTCCGACATCCGCCTCACTCTCCGGCGGTTCCGCCTTGTGAGAACAAAGGAGCTACCACCTCTTCAACAAATCTTGTCTTCCATTCTAGGATGAAACATGTTACATTCAGTTTCTATTTTGTGCGACAATGTGTGCAATGTGAGCCTTTGGCCCTTTTCGTGTCCTTCATATTTTATCTCATGATCTTGGCTGATGATCTTATCAAACCATTTCCAAGGCAACATTATACTCTTTTTAAAGACAAAATACGTGGCTTGTGGGGGCGTATTGAAGAATTCAGACAATAGAGAAGGATGCAAACAATAACTTAGCTATAATATTTTCAGTTATTATAATCTTAAGTTACAACCGTTACAATCTTTGTAATTAGTATTGCAGTTGTTATTATAGGCTCCTAATCATTGTATAAATAACAGAACATACCACAGAATATAACAAGCAATTCTGTCTGAACTTCTCACCTTTCTAAAACGTCAATAAATTGATCACATTTTATTTGTTATTCACTTTCAGCTTCAGAGAGAAAATAACCTGCATAAATCATCAATTATGGTTACTGCTGGTGCTAATCAGGTATCTCACCAATTATCTTCTGTTTTCTTTTCTGCCTTTTTTGGATACAAAGAGAAGCAAGAAATAAAGTAGTAGAAAATAAGTATATGAGGAAAGGAAATGAGTAAATATTTAGTGTGTGGACTCGAAAAATCTGGAAAGAAATAAAAGAGAAAAAAAGTTGAATTATCATGTGAAAAAATATTACTACCTCTGTTCCATTTTATGTGTCCTACTTTGTTTTGGCACAATTATTAACAAAGTGGTTGAAAATGTGAAAGTTATAATTGAGATTTGAGTATAATCAAGCAAAATACTGTGGACCACATTTTTGTTTCCAAAAAAGGAAATGCGACACTTATTTTGGGACAATCCAAAGAGGAAAGTAAGACAGGTAAAATGGGATGCGGGAGTACTGTACTATGCAGAACAATAGATATTTTACAATAGTGAGCAAAACATTTATATTATCTTCTGTTTTATTTTCTGCCTTGTTTGGTTGGTGATGGAGTTCCAACCCTGAGGGTAGGTGGAATTCGGGAAATTAGATGCCGGAAAGTGCTAAGTAAGACCGAGTAAGAAATTGGGCAGAGTAACAGCAAGTTTGCACTAAGAATTCGATCAGATCCCTTTCCACATGTTGGAAGGTGATATTTATTTTAAGGAAAAAATATTTGGCCAACAAGTAAAAAGATGTTATTCTATTGTGGTGAAGACACGTGTATTACTTGGCTAACAAGAAGAAATGTACTAGTCTAATTGTGCGTGACATGTGTAAAGTTGATTGGAGAGATATTCTGGACAACTGTCTGATTGGTACTATGTGTATCAGAATTGTCCTTTGTGTACCAGAACGAATGTGCATGACACATGTGCGCTATCTGGAATATGATGTGTAGTAACCGCCAGGGTGACGTGGCCTTTGTACAACTGTCGTGCTGGTGACATGGCTGCAGTTCAGAATGGCGTTTGATTGCTGAAATGTCTAATTTCACAATTGTCTGGCTAGGCCCCGAGCCCAGCAGATGAGATCAAGCTTGGGGACAGTGTGCTTATCACGGAAGGAGCAACCTCAGTTTGCTATCTATCAAGTGAGAGTCACTCCTTTGTTTCATTGACTTTCTAGAAACGTCGGTTGACTCCAAGATCGGTTAGGACGCGGGAATCGCTGCTGACCTTGGAGAGAGTCGACCTCGGCCTCGAATGCAGTTTTGGCCTTATCTCGATGATTTGAGAGGTGAATGTTTGGACCGACCTCGAGTTTGCCTAGATCGACCTCGGCGGGATAATGACTTAATTGGTACCCCCGGAGTATATGAGAATATACTCCATCATGAGTCCCCCACTCTCTTGAGGTGATAGAGAGTAACTCTTTTACTTCTGGGCTGGCACGTTCGGCGGGGGCACTTCTCTCCATGGCCACAATAAAAAGGTGCCTCATTAAAAACTTCGTTGAGGAAAAAACCCCGCGGGAAAAAATCCTAACAGAGGAAAAAGAGAACACTCCGCTCTGAAGTGACTCTCGGAGGAAAAGGCAATGCCCCGTTGTAAAGGAGATGAGCTCGAGCTTCGTGCTTCATGGTTAGCAGCGACTTTGTTTTCCTGTTCCTGCAAGTTAGTTGCTACATCCACGGCCTCAGCTGAGGGCTAATACAAAATTTTCAAATTTTAAAGTACAATTGATGAGCTCAGTATGAGTTATACCTGTTTGGTGTGGTAACCAAGGTTGTTGCTGTATTTTGAGTTGATGTTGAGTTCTTTGTTTGGCGCCTCTGCGGGAAAAAACCCCGCGGGAAAAAATCCTAACAGAGGAAAAAGAGAACACTCTGCTCTGAGGTGACTCTCGGAGGAAAAGGCAATGCCCCGTTGTAAAGGAGATGAGCTCGAGCTTCGTGCTTCATGGTTAGCAGCGACTTTGTTTTCCTGTTCCTGCAAGTTAGTTGCTACATCCACGGCCTCAGCCGAGGGCTAATACAAAATTTTCAAATTGTAAAGTACAATTGACGAGCTCAGTATGAGTTATACCTGTTTGGTGTGGTAACCAAGGTTGTTGCTGTATTTTGAGTTGATGTTGAGTTCTTTGTTTGGCGCCTCTGCGTACTGTTCCTAATTCCCAGAGGAAGAGGTATGAGGATACTAGGGAGGTCGGCGTTCTTGACGACAATGGCTTGATTGAAGCCCACTGCAATCTATTTAATAAAGATTGGGACGATAATGGCTTGATCGAAGCTCACTGTTTAGCGGACCCCACTGTTGATATTGTCAGGCCTGATGTCGGTAGTCTCCCCACGTCGTGCCCCTCCGGCTACTTTGTTGTTCAGTATGGCGTGTTGGTGCACAGATTCCGGTTTCCCTAGTCGGCCGTTTCACATTGATTACTTGAATTAGGTTGGGTATCTCCCTTGCCAGATCACACCTAATGGGTTTTATCTGATGGTTGGATTTCGCCTTTGCTGTCATGAATTAACTTGGCTGCGAACATCGACTTTTTCCGTTCTCTTCCACATCGACCGCAACCCATCTAAGGGTAATCAGGGGTATACCGCCATCGCCCAGGTAGGCGGCAATAGTGGTTTCTTTAATACCCCCACCTCTCATCATGGCCGGAAGAAAAAATTCGTCTTTATCTGTACAGACCAGAAGTATGGGTCTCCATTTACTGCCAAGGGATCCAATGTTTTCAAGAAGCATAACGCATGGGAGCTTGGGTTGTATGCTAGCCTGGTGCAGAAGTACGTGGATTTTGGCTGCCTTGACATGACTAAATATGTGACAGAGCCGAAGCTGAGGAAGGATCTGCGTTATGTCTGTTACTCTTCTATCCATGCCTTTGGTGAAGAAGAGAGGGCGGCTGGGGAAAGTGTCGATGTTGCTAACGGCAACGGAGTGGACATCGCTGGTGGTGCAACTGGCCAAGGTGAAGATGCTGATCTGGCTGCAGCCATCACATCTTTGCTAGCTGATGGTGAGATCCGCTGCCCATGAGGTTGGATATGGGGTGATGGAGCCTCAAAATTTGGGTGAGTCTGTTGAGGCAGAAGAGGAGGGGCTGGCCCTCAAAAGGAGAAGGGGAGACAGAAGTACTCCTGCTGCAGCTGCTGAAGAAGAGCAGTGATAGAACAGCCCACAACGGCTGCTAACATTGCTGGTACTCAAGGGGAGGCTGTCCCAAAGTCCCCCAGTGCAAGGGGTAGCATGGGTCCCCCTCGTGGTGAGGTCCACGCAAGCCCTTCGGAGCAACATCCTGCTTCTATGTAAGGTAACTATTTTTGTCTTTTCATTTCTAGATTTCCTCCGTTGTTGCATTTTTCTACTGTTGGTGCTTGGTTATGCTGTTAACCAACTTGTAGGTGGATTTTCCATATTCGAGCTGTTGAACAAGGCTTTTCCATCATTTGCAATGGAGCCAAAGATTCATTATTTATTGGCTTGAGATTATGATGGAATAAAGCAAAATGGCTCACTAAACTGTCTGCGCTTCTTTGTTATGGTGCAGCAGTCAGTCAATGCAATTTTGGACGCGATTTTCACTATGGGTCATCCGGAAACAGTCTCTTTGTGCTTTAGTACAGGGGTAAGACTGCGTACATCCGACCCCCCCTTACCCCACCGTAGGTGGGAAGCCTTTGATCGAATAAAGCAAAATGGCTCACTAAACTGTCTATGCTTCTTTGTTATGTAGCAGCAGTCAGTCAATGCAATTTTGGACGCGATTTTCACTATGGGTCATCCGGAAACAGTCTCTCTGTACTTTAGTACAAGGGTAAGACTGCGTACATCCGACCCCCCCTTACCCCACCGTAGGTGGGAGCCTTTGCGGCACTGGGGTAAATGAAAATGAAAAAATGAAATGAGCTGTTGAACAAGGCCTAAGGGGAGGGCCAGAGGGAAAGGAAACCCTCTGGGGGCAGAAGGAACCCGAGCCTTCCCCCAGTGTCTCCTCCTTGTCCGATGACGAAGATGATGGCGCTAATGGTGATGATGGTCAGCAAGCTGGAGCTGTGCTTGAGCCGTGCTTGAGCCGGAGAAGTCTACCGATAAGTCGGGCGATTTTGGTGGTGTTGGAGGTGGTGCCGTTGCTTCTGCCTATCAACCAAATGTGGCGATGGTGGAGGGTGAGCATCCTGTTGAAGGCCACTAGTGCTGAGCGTGAGCATGACATGGCTCTGGAGAAGCTTAGCTTGGAACATGCTGCCGCACTTGAGCAGGCGAGGGGCACCCCTGAGCAGGCAAATAAACTAGAGGAGCTGGCTGATATGAGAAGGAAGCTCGAGGAGTTGACAGCTGGTCACTTTGCGGTTCTTGAGAAGGTCAGGGAAGGTGTAGTAGCTGGCTTTCAAGCCTCCTGTTCTAGTGATCCTCCGGTTCCTCAGTCAGTAGCTTGGCTCCATAGTGGGATGGGTAAGCACCTCTATAGTTGGCTTACTATGGCTGATGGAATGACGCTCCTTAAGGACAAGCTGCTGCAATTTTTCAGATTTGGCCAATATAAGATGCAGCAATTGGTGTATCCTCAGCTAGCGAAGGTACTTCCATAGTTCAGCCATAAGAAGTATGAGCTTCCAAAGCCCTTGGAGAATCCTGAGGGAGTGCGTGGCCATGTTATTGAGTACTCTGCCATGACCCAACAATAGCATGGGGCCTTGGTGTGCAGAGCAAACACCGGCATGTACTTCTTCCATGGCCAGCTTGGCTTCATTGCTATGGAGGCAGTGTAGTAGCGTGCCATTGTATGACTTTTTGTAGAGCTTTTCCTGTATGAGGTGTAGCTGGGAGCTCAGAGCTTCACAATTCTGGCCTCAACGTCATCCTCGGGCAGTTTGCCTTCATTGTATAGTTTTAAGTCCATAATCCAATCTTTAAGGACAAATAGTATATGGTGGATGAGACTCTGCTGGATGCTTGGCATGGTCAACTCCTCCACCCTGAGCAATCTTTGAGATATACTTAGGGTCCTTTACCCTTGGTATCGGCAAGATTTCATGCAACTGGAATGGTCCTAGGAGTTTCAGTGTTGTAGC